TATAAAACATTATGTACAAATCTGGACCAGCATAGCCCCCAAACTAGGGGTTGATTTTATAATTGAGAGCTCTGGTGAGCACTAATACTTAAATCAACCAAATATAAATCGGCCAATGGCTGAAATGACATCCCAGAAACCAGTAGTATTTTGCGCTTGATTGGTGGCTGGTTGTGGTTGGGCTCTAGTATAAAATGGCTCAGAGTGATATTGAGCAGGCTGATATTGAGGCCGTACAGGAACATGTGTACGAGCAGGATGAACTGAATATGGGTCACGATACAAGGAGCTATGGGCTGGAGGCCTATTGTAATCATTTTGGACAGACCTTGGTAAGAAAATGGGTTCTGAAGAATAGACCGGTGATGGTGATGCTACTGGAGGACACATTTTTGAACGTTTCCTGAAACTTACGACAAAAGCTGGATAAAAGGTGTGGTCTTCAAATTTAACAATGACATCCATAGTTGTCTTGTTTTTAGCAGTGGTATCATATCTTAAAGGCCAGTGCCCTTCAAGGAATGGAGGTTCGCAGATAGTATAGCGCTTTTTCTTCATCTCTGGTACCTCTATTATATTTGATACAAGTACCAAACACAGCAGCATTTGCTTGACTGGTACATTCTCATCACAATAATGACTTGAGTAGTTAGAGATGGCTGAGAATGATACTCCAGCGCCAAAGCGATGTCCTGCACATTTGAATAAAATATGTTACTTTTTAAACATAAAAAACCATTGTTAACGATGTAAAGTGGAAACTAAAGAACCAACATACCTCTATTCTGGCCATGTCGACGAACTTCCAAGTTGTTTTTTAAAATTGATGGAATATTAGTTATTTTAGTTCCATGAAAAACTTTCACAGTACGAACATGTCCATATTGTCTTCTATATATTGCTTTATTGATATCAAATGCTTGCTGGAGAGTTGGGTTGGTCACTTTCTCTATGGCTTCAATGCTCAGCACAAAGTCTTTAGTTTTAGCACCTTTACGAAAGACTGTAGAAACACAGAATACAAAATAATTGATCAGAACAGCTAGAAAATGGAAAAAATTGAGCTACTGGGGTTATTCACAATTAAATAAATATGAAACTCACCTGCTGAAACCTCTTGGTACTCGGGATTGTCAGTGCTTAGCTGCTGCCTTGTCACATGCATTTTTGATTTCTGTTCAATCAAACCTCAGAAATGATCCAACCTTAAATGCAATTCTTGTTTGTTGATTGAAAAAGTTAAGGCTCCACTTTTAGTCTTTCTAAAGTTTCAACATGTACAAGATAAAATAATGAGACTTACCTCAGCAAGAACTTCAACTAAAGAGTTTACAGGACTGCCCTTCCCGCCTAGTAAGTATCTTTGGCAGAGATCCTAGCTATTATCTCTGGCTGTGGTAAATTCCAGTAGATTTTAAGACAGCCTTTGATCCACCGCGGAAGACTAGAGTAGGCCACAAAGAAAGAGTGGGAATTACCGTGGGCTGCCCACCGCTAGAGGTCACCACCCGTCACGAGTGCTTCTGAGTCCAGTGCGGCCAACTACCACAGGAGGGCACGAGCGTCTTCGGAACTGCACAAAAGCGATAGTTCGAGGGGAGAAAGGGTCAGGATTCATTTAACTCTTAACAAAAATTGACAGCAAAGTGTCGAAATTACCTTAGTATGACTCAAATTCTTGTTCCGAAGTATTGAAGTATGGTGACATTTTTATGTGTGGAAGGCAACACTGGAGTTTGTGGTGGAGAGGAGGTGGGGGCGGGGCTGGA